GTGTTATTGTGTGTTATTCATGTGTTATTGTATCCTGAAAATATTCTTAATGTTATAATAACACAATAACACATCAATAACACATGAATAACACACAATAACACATGAATAACGTGCAATAACACATGAATAACACAGGAGGGAATATTCCCCGTGTTACTGCGCCGTTTTTTTTGCTCTACCGCGCGAGATGTCGTGGCATGTTTTGATTGGCTACGCACTTTATTTTTACGTGCGTAGTACTGATGTAATATTTCTTCCATAAATATGAGATATATAAATCTAAAACAATTGTATGTTAGGTATGTAAATGTTCGGAACAAATTGCTCGTAATTCCTTTCTCATATAACGAATTTGTTAGCAGCCTTCTCAAATTAATCCTAACCGTAACGGTTAACCTCGCCGGCAAGCCAATGCTGGACGACACGTGGACTTGCCTCCAAGAAGAATTGCATTTTTTCAAATAAGACCATCATATCTAAGTATATTGACAACCCCTCTTATGATTGCACGTCATCAAAATGTATTACTGGAGCACAGAACAAGGTTTTATTTGTGTTGTTTTTCAGCATAATAGAAAATTACGAGGGGGCAAAATGCAATTATGTAAAGCCGGCAGCCAACACGGCTTCAGCCGGAAAATTTTATTTTAAAATTTCCACATTTTAATGCGTCTCCTCTCTCGAGATCCTCATCTCGCCGCCCTTTATCTCATTTTTTGCGGGAACGGAGAAGGCGGCAAGGGGAGAGGAGACTAGGGTGGGAAGGAGTACGAGTGGGAAGTAATCCAGCAATCTGATCCCTCTCCTCCGCAGTTGCATTCTGTGATCCGATCTTATCCCGGAGGTCTTTCCAGTCGGAGCAATTCAGCCTTAAAATTTTGATCGTTCCCGTTCGAGCTTTTGATTGTTTGGTTGATTGTGTTATCTGTGGGAGGAAAATTTAATTGGTGCGTTGTTCTGCGTTTTTTTTTTTTTGGATTCGAAGATATCAGCTGTGAATCGGATTTTAGCGGTTATTTTGTGTTTTCTAAGTGATTGATAATTGAGATCGTGACTTGATTAAGCTAATTATCTCTAAATCTTTCAGTTTCCTCGCTTGAAGAAGTACGAGAAATTGAAACTTTAGATATGTGTTTTTGAATTGCTTTAAATGTAATTGGTGTGTGTTGTATGGGTTACAAATAGTTTTGTATCCATCAATGATTTGTTTCATATTTGTACAGTTACGCACGGGTAGAGTGCTGTGAGTTCAACCTTCTTTTTTTGTATTCTAATGATATCTGGAAGAGTACGGAGAAAATTCTAGATTAAATTTCTGGATGGGCAACGCTTTGTTTTTGTTTTTTTGGTTTCAAATCTGATTAGATGACGGGATCATCAAAAAATTAAAAATGGGGAAAGCCTTATCTACTTTTAATGCAATGTAGGTTGTTCAGGAGATCTTCGAACTTCGTGTTGAAAGTTTGTTTTATTTGATGCTTGTGACGATGGGATTTTTCTCAAGGAACGTCTATCCTGCATGTGAGAAGCTCTGCGTCTTTTGTCCTTCATTGAGGACAAGTTCACGGCAGCCAGTGAAGCGGTACAAGAAGTTATTAGCTGATATTTTCCCTAAATCCAAGGTTAGGATGTAGTGCTTGGTATTCTGTTCTTAATTTCTACACTTAATGCTCATAAAATATTGTTTAAATCTTGTTTTGTTATGCGTGAATCTAACCACGGAATTTCTTCGCCAATTTAAGCACGTAGTATTTCTTTGTCAATTTATTTTTTAAACATCAAATGTGGGACTAAACTTATTATTTCTCGTGCTCAAACCTAAGGTTATGCGTGTTTGTCATCTTCTAAGATTCTCAAACCTCCCCATAACTTTGGATTTGCTAATAGAAAAGTATAATTGGCAAATGATTTGCCTCATGCTTTTTTGTCATTTTTTAAATCACTCCTAACTAAATCCCATAATTCTATTTAGCACTGAACTCACAACTTTGAACTTTAGATTGCTAACAATGAATTTTAATCAAGCAATGGTATGCCTAGGATTAAAATTCTTTGAGATTACTTTGACTAAACCTTACGGAATTAAATTTCTTGTCAACAACGACTTGTTAGACAATGTTTGTGAACATTTAAGTCTTCAATCACGTCAGATTTCAGTTGTTTTCATATTATTGATGCCTTTCTATAGCCAATAAAGTGTGGATCAAGGAAAAGGGGACATTACCTACATAGCGCTCAATTCTTATGTATTTATATATATCAAACCTAAACTTTCATATTTACACACATAGCACTCAATTCGTTATATTACATCAAAAATAATGCGAGTATCACTTTTTAAAAGTGAAATACATCTTTTCATGTATAGGTTTAAAGCATGAAAGTGCCGATATGTATTTATGAAAGTTTAGGTGTGAGATATGTAAATGCATATGAATTATGTCTATGTATGCAAATTTCCCAAATAAAAAAGGATGGATATTCTATTTTTTGTGTTCAAAGGACTTGTAGACGTGTTTACCTGGATGGTCTTATGCTTCTGCATAGAAATATCAATAGCTTCTAGAAGCTTTAGATGTTATTTAGTGAATTCAGATGGCTATCTAATTCTTATGAAATCTTATTGGATTATACAGCATGTTTTTCTTTCATGATTTAGGTCAACTTTATTAAATAAATGAGGTTATGAGAAAAGCTTTGTGCTTTTGTTTTCTGCAGCTTAAATTTAAATATTTTGTCTTAACATAATCATTTTTTTTAATCACAGTATAAAAATTGTTTATATGCTTTCTTTCAGGATGAAGAACCTAATGATAGGAAAATTTCTAAACTGTGTGAATATGCTTCAAAAAATCCACTCCGCATTCCAAAGGTAATTTCAGTATGTTTTATTTTTACTTCCAACGGATCATCAATTTTAGTTGCCTAGCTTTGATAGCTTATCTAGGTTCCTTATCTCTTTTATTTTGGTATTTTGATTATAGCATTATTGTTCATGACTCACAATTGTTTATTTTTAAGCACAAAAACTTTTGCCTTTGACATTATGATGCTATTTTATGTAACTAAGTTACAGTAATTTCTTATGTTCAGCAATTATTTTTCGTGATTTATTATGCATAACTTATATCGTGAAACGAGAAATATTTTGTATGTTTGAGAATGTTGGGGTAGAGGCATTGGATACTTGGCAAATGTTTTTTTAAATAGTATTGTGTCCTTTTCTAAGTTAAACTTTTAAGAAGTTGGAAAGAAAATGCTTTTGTCATGGAGGGGTTATACACTAACAAACTAAATTAATTTGCATTATATTAAAGTTCTTTCCGTACTAATACCAATGCTGATGATCTCAGTAATAGCAGTAATAACAATTGAAGTGGAGCAAAATTGGTCACTATCTTTGCTGTTCTTTGTGCAGCTTCTTTAAATTATTGGAGCTCATCACAACATCGTTTTCTGTTATTCCTTCTGTTGCTATTGTTTATGTTTTTCTTTTGAATGATCTATTCTTTGTCAACAATTAAGAGGTTTATAAAACTAAAAATTCTGAAATAAATCATACTGCATACATTTCATTATAACCATTTTCTTCTATTTTCTAAAAAAATTCAGATAACAACTTATTTGGAGCAAAGATGCTACAAGGAATTGAGGTCTGAGGAGTTTGGCTCTGTAAAGATAATCATGCGCATTTATCATAAACTATTAGTTTTCTGTAAAGATCAAATGTAAGCTCTTCTTTCCTTTTAAATTCGTCTTGGTAACCTTTATGTGTATTTCTGGGTTTACTAGGTACTCAATAGACTTTTATCTTCAGCTATGTCCATTACTTGCTCAGAATTGAGCTTTGTGTACCACTACTGCTTTTCCAAATGGATTCTGTTGTCATTAGCAATTCCACATTTTTCTTACAATTTCCTAGGTACAAATTTCATTCATTTTGTAAATAAGATTTAAGAATAATTTATTTGGAAACAGACAATTCATAGAATGCAGAAATGGCATGCAAAATGTTGGAAACCTTATTATTGTATAATAGCTAAAATGGTCATTGAAGTGTTTTGTTTACCTCTTCTCAATGTTCTATGATCAAGCATTTTTTGCTTTAGAATGGTGAAAATCTACCTAAAGGGCATGTAATATTTTTGCGGAAAAAAGTTAACCAACATGTAGCACCCAACAGAATGAGTGAAGAAGGGAGGATTCATAAAGCAAATCTCAAAAAAATTACATAGATTAAGAAGTTTTAATTTTTAAGTGAAGTGCAAAAAATTTCTCTCTCTTACGAAACAAGAAAAAAGCCATATTAGAATCTCTTGTTATTGTTTCTTTATGATTGATCAAGAGATCAATCAGTCCGAAAGATAACTAAGTGAACTTTGATGTGGGTTACATCCAATAAATATATATAATTTTTAACAAAACTTATCATAAATGTGTGTGTTAAGAAAAGGGATTTCCTGGCGTATGGAACTCCCACAAATATAGGATTGGAGAAGGATTGATGTATACATTCTCAACATGCATTTTCAAAGATGCTATTTCTATTATTAGAACAAGGGATCTCCAAAATATATTAAAGACTACTTAACTTCTATAATTCTATTTAAGGTTCACCCTCCTTGGCATAAATGTGTTCAGAGTTCATAGAAAATAGCTTCAGTTATGATTCCAGTTTGATAAATATTCATTTTCTCAAATAGATGTAAAGTTTTCATATAATTTGTTGGCTTTTAGATAAAATGATCACATGCTAAGCAGTAGGTCTTAACAGAAATGCTTTGTTTACTGTCACTGATTTTCAATTGCTTATGCTAATTGTATATCGAATTAAATTTTTGGAATTTAAGAAATTTTCTTAGAGATATTACTTAGAAGATCAGCAGTACTGGAATGAGTAATTTTACGAACTCTCAACCCTAATAAAGAAAATGCTCTTTGAAGAAATAACACTCGTGACTTGGTTTATCCTTGCAAAATGCTAATATGATGAAGTGAAGTGAAAAAATATAATGGAAAAAAATAATGGCTTCTTTTCCCTTTCAACTGGACTTCCTTTTGTTCATTTGGTAGTAGAACTGGACTTCCTTTTGTTCATTTGGTAGTAGAAGTATATGTGTTAATCGTCCTTTTTTGGTGATTGGGGGGAATGGGCAGGCTCTAGTTAACCGTGGGAATGGAAGGGTGCTTGTTATTAATTGAATAGACAGAGGCAAGATAAATAAATGAATGGAAAATATACATGCATTACACTAAATTCCGATGTATTTACATATCTAACACCTAAACTTCAGTTTTTACATATATGCGACCTTAGCTATGTATGAAAAAGCTGTATCTAACTTTTTAAAATTCAAAATAGTGGTTTTTTTTATGTGATATGAAAGATTCAGGTGGTATAGATGTAAAAATTAAGTTTAAGTGTTAGATATGTAAATACATAGGAATGGGTGGTATGTATGTAAATGCCCCTGAATGATTACATAGGCATGAGAGGGAGTGATTTAGATAGCAATGTAGTATGTTAGCCAGTGTAGAGGATGTTGGTTCTGTATGTGCTGACTGTATTGCATGAACTAAAAGGTTGTTCGACACTTGATGACTAACCTTAAAATTTTTTAACTGAAATTAACAAGATTAGAATAGCTTCCAGCATGAATAGTAAAATATGTGTACCTGAACACTCTGTCACTTAAGTCCCAATACGTTCATCAATGGCCTCTAGACCAAATTTATTTCTTTTTATGCTTTTGTTTTCTACTGTTAACACTTGGAGGGAGCAGCGTGGGTTTTTATTGTAGCTGGAAATCAGTATTTTTTTTTAATACAATCTGGAATCTGCTGGATGTGATTCTGGCGCTGCAGAAGGGGGAGAAACTTGCTCATTTTGTAGTATAGTTGAAATTGGAAACTTTTTGCTTTTGCACTTCTGCTGAAATCTGGACATATTGTTTTCAGCCAAATTATGGTATTCAGTGTGACTGCTAATTGGGTTTTTTGTGATCATAATAGGACCACCAAGATCTACAAAAAATTTCATCAGATTGTTTAAACTTTTAAATTCATGTGTGCTGGTTGGATGTAAATTCTTAGAGAATGGTGTACGTGTTATGTCAATTTTTGGGAAAGGTTTCTCCTTGTACTAGTGTGAGGCTTAGGCTTTCTATTTGCTGAGTATCTATCCATATTATTTTTATCTATGTAGCGTGTGATTGGGATTTGGCAAAACCTATTACAAGTAAGGTTTACATTTTACTGCATGCATCCTGATGTCTTATGATTTCATGTTATCTCAAAATTTTTGCAGAATTTCTATTTGACCAATCCTTACATTGTTGTTTATAATGAATTTGTATGAAAAGTGATGATTTTTTGTCCAAGTTAAAGTTGGCGGACTACAATTTGTTTTTGCTTAATTATTTTGACAAGAATTCGCGAATGGTTAGTGTTTCAGGAAAACATTCCACTCATAATTTGTACAATTTTATTGGTCGTATCTACTTTCCCAAAATGATGTAAACTTTTTGTACCATTTTTTTAATTCACACAAAAATGTCACCAAACATTGAAGCGATTAGATAACTCCCACTTAAGATAGTTGGGATAAAGCCAGTAATATTTTTTTATTTTTGCCATCATTCAGATGCAAAATGTTTTATGTCAAATTAATTAATTATATTGAAACAATACTTCAGGCCACTGTTTGCGAGCAGCTTTCTAACCATCATAGAAACTCTGTTGGACCAACCAAGGCAGGATGAAATGCGCATAGTTGGATGCCAAACCCTTTTTTACTTTGTAAATTGTCAGGTATACCTTATCTTTTCAAGTATCAATATATTATGTAATAAGCCACCGGAAGAGAAAATATTTTATTTCAAGTTTTTTAAACCACAAGGAGAGAGCTTCATATCTAAATAGAACCCCCTTAACATTAAAATTTTTTTTATTCTCTTAAGGGAGGAGAAAGTATTATTTATTTAAAGTACGGAAATTCAAATTGAAATTTTATCTTTCCTAATATTAAGCCGTTTAAATTATTCTTGATAATAAATTTAAATATTCTCGACATCAAAATAAAATATGACTTAGTATTGCTTAAAATATTATATTTTCAAACAGATTTTAATATTTAATGATGGCTTATAAAAATTATCAATTTAATTTAATTCTAATTTTAATTTGACATGTTGTGAAAATAGCAACAATTTAAAAATCTTATCTGTCTAATATAGTCATATGCTAACAATTTGATTAAAATTTATTTTTGAAATTACTGTATAATATTTATTCTCTATAATTATTGTAATGATAGTACTTTTTGATCTCCCATGCATTAATTGGGGTTACATTCTTGTTATCCTCTAATCTCTTTAGTGTGGTAAGTTGAGCTTTTTACAAAAAGGAGCAGCTTGTAATCTTCAATTTTAATTACTCTTTTAACATATTATGCCTGAGATCAAATTTCTTGTCTTAAATTTCAGATTGATGGTACATACATGTTCAACTTGGAAGGCATGGTTCCAAAATTTTGTCAGCTTGCTCAAGAAAGCGATGAAGGTCTACGTGCTGCAGGGCTGCAGGCCCTTTCTGCAATGGTAATATTTTTAGACATTGTCTTTTAGGAGTGTTGTAAATAATTCAATTTACAGCAATCTTTTAAAATTGATCATTGAAATTATGTCTAATATAGATGTTAAATCTTTGTTAGTTTTGTGCTACGCCACCCCCTCCCCCTCACCTAACACACACACACACACACACACAGGTGTGTGTTTGTATTTGTATGTGCCGTGCCTTTGTGTGTGTCTCTGTGTTTGTATGCCTATAATCTATATGTATGTAAGCACATGCGTTTTTGAGTACTGAAACTAGATCAACGACCTTTGATACTATTATGGTTAAATCTTTCCAAATTGATTGATCATTGAAATTATGTTTGATACAGATGCTAAATCTTTGTAAGTTTTGTACTATATATATATACTTATAATTACCACGGCTTTATGGGTTTTCATTTTCGTTCTGTTAGGGTTTCCGCTCATGGCGAACCCTAGCTCGAAACAGACGACTGTTTTTTCGCTCGTTTTGTTCCTCTTGTCTTCGTCATCAGCTCTGGCTGGTGGAGGAGTTCGCACTGCTTCGAGCCTGCTCGTCTGCTGCATCGTCTGCGGTGGAGACGCGTCGTTTGCGGCGCTTTGCTCGACTGCTCCGCCAGAGTTTTGTTTGACTGCTCTGCCAAAGTTCTGCTCGAGTGCTCTGTCAGACCCTTTGTAGGGGGCAGTCGCTGTAGTGCTTTTGTGAAGCACGCTAATGGTCTCAGGGCTTTCCTACGCTGCCGCCCTCGCTGGTGGTAACCCCATCAAACCCTCCTATGCTACAGTGGTTCAAAAACGTAGCTCCCCTGTTCACCTCGCAGATAGTCTGATATTCTCGCAGATGTACCATAATTCTGTTGCAGGACATGGAGATTGCAATCTCATAAAAAAAAGTAGAGAAAAAGAAGGGCAAACCAGCAATATTCTTCTCTGACATTGAATTTTCAACTCATGCAGGAAAGTACAAATTTACACTAGTTGGAAAGTTCCAATTATGTTGCCCTAAGACGGAGATTATCATGAAGGTTTTTGAAGATTTCAAACTGGTTAGAGATTGACAGGTGGGCCATTTCGACGGAAGACAAGTTATGATACAGTTTAGCATAGAAGAAGATTACACAAGGATTTTTTCAAAGAAATTCATCACAATCGTGAACAAACATATGAAATTACATGAATGGACCCCTAATTTTGATCCCAGTCAAGAACTCCCAATTGTGTCTATCTAATTCTCATTACCTGAACTCAAGTTTCAATTCTTTGACCTACTTATCTTATATGCAATTGGGATTATCATTGGAAAATCTTTGCAGGTAAACTTACCTACAGTTCATTTCTTAAGGCCCTCTATTGCAAGGTTTTTTATTGAAAGAAATATTACACTACCAGATGTAGCAGAATAAGTTATCCCTTACCTTGGTCAATCTCCCTCTTCTCCTTCGTTGGTAGGCTAGGGCACGACCTAATCTCTTCCTTCGTCTTCCCCTTCCACTCAGCAGGAGAAATGTTTCGTTGAGAACCAACAGTTAAAAGAAAGAACCTTCTATTAGTGCACCCCACGTGCCTGAACACGCTCCCAACAAACCTGATGACAACCAACCTGAGGAGGGAATCACCATAAGACAAGAGTTGGTGTCTGCCCCTGGGATCTCTTCTCCTGACCATACTACAACGAATAATGTTCGAACAAAAAATCAGGATAACCCCGCAGCTCCTATTCAGGAAGCATCAAGTGCAGATGTGACAATGCACACTTCACATACACTGGAACCTATCGCTATGGCAAAAACTGTTTTTCCTTCTATTGCGGTTCTAATATCTAATCATACCGAGCATCACATGAGACCGAGGATCACATGTGCCAGTCTTCAGATGAAGAATGACAGGTTTACACTTTTCGACGGAAGAAGAAGGCTGGGGGCACACTCCAACTTGGAAACTCAATGGATGATACTTTGGTTACTCCTGACAATGACACCACTCTTCAAAGTTCGTTATCTGGATCCGCTCCTAAAACTAGAGGAAGAGGCAGGAGGAAACTGGCTCCCCCCCAGGTTCTTGGTTTCTTCCTGTCATGTTTTAAATTTATTTTAATTTTTTATTGAGTCTTATATATATATGTGATGCACCATCAACAAATTTTCATCATCTGACACGAATTTTGAGGCTTGACACAGATCTCAAGGCAACCATTTGAGCAAGAAACATTCAAACTTCAACTAAGAGTCATCCAGAGCTCCGATTTCAGTAAACTTATAGTTAAACTGACCGGCTCGATAAGAGGGACCCAATGATATAAAAACTAGTCTGATCCGAGTTAGATCAAAGTCGGATCAAATCATTAAACCACTCTTGGAGGATTTTCAGAGGTATTTGTAAGGTCAAACAGATGTCTAATCTAGCGAGTTCATAGTTGAATCGAGCATCTCGACAAAATGAATCCAACGAGCCCAAGATTGCTCAATTCCGACATCGTTAAGACACCCAAATATCCATCAAACATCATCCGATCGAGAGAAGCTCTTCGAACCGTCTGATAAAAAATGTTCATATTCCTACATTGATTGCACTCAGAACACTATAAATAGTCTCATCCCTCACATGAAGGAAAAGGCTTGAGAGAGAACTTGAGGCTTTGAGAAGGAGCTTAAGTCCAATATTATCATGTCGTTGACCACCACCGACTGTCGGAGACCACCGCCGACCTCTGTCGACCACCGTCGATCACTACTGACATCCGTCGACCGTCATCGACCATCGTCGACCACCGTTAACCAGACGCTGTCAGTCGACGTTGTTCCTTGAAAAATCTAGTAACCCTTTCTCGTTTGTGGGTCAAGGGGTTCTGTAATCATCAACTTATAGTGAATTTTTATAACTGGGCTAGACCTCGTGGTCCCTTTACGGGTTTTCCACATAAAAATTTCTGGTGTCATCACATATTGATTCCCTTTCATTTGAGTGTGTTGAATCCTCGTGCAACGCTGAGACGATAATCCATTACTCTACAGCCACAAATTTTCTAGCACACATCAATATGTATGTATATAAATCTGGGTGTGCGTGCACACTTTTGAGTGCTAATTGATGCACTTTTGAGTACTAATAGAATATTCATTTTTTTTTATATGTGTGTATTTATGTATGTATATATATCTGTGTGTGTGCGAGCGTGCGCTTTGGATTACTTAGAAAGTTTTCAATTTTTTTCGAATGAATGTTCAATATTCTATGATATAACATTCCCTTGTTTTGTTTATTTCAAGAAGTTCAAATAAATGATTTTTATAAGCGAAATTAGTTATTGATCAAGTTTCAATAAATATCATAATAGTTAAACCATTCTTCAAGCACATGAAAGAAACCAAAATGGTTAAATGACTTATTAAGGTCCACTAAGAAGTTTAAATTTACCCATATATTTTATCAATCAATATCATTTATTGCATCATGCATATATATACATCTTATCAGCATCACATGGAGAATGACGATGAGTAGGGGGTTAGAAAAGATAAAACACACAAGCGTGCACGCACACATTGAACAACCAATATGGTAGAAGAATGGTGATTTTACTCTTATAGAAATAGAAAAGTCCATAATTAGTTCAGCAATTTTCATCCAAAAAATTATTTTGTAGTTCCTCCCTTCTAAGCTTGTCAAACTAAGCTACGTATGTTGCAAAATAGTTTTTTTTTTCCCCTCTTTTTTATGGTATAAAATGGAATGAAGATATAGCTTTTTCAAATTGGGATAAAATACAATGATCATTTTCTTCTTAATTCTAATTTTGTGTGAATTTGTTTACCATCTTCTATTTCCTTTGAACTTAAAAATCACGCCAACGATTTTCATCTATGGCATGAAAATTATTTGCGGATTGTCTTTCATCATTTAATTAAGCATGTAAAAGTATAATGATCTAACAACATGTATAAGCTCACAAAAAGTATATAGTTTTACCCATATGTGTCATCAATGAATGCCATAAAAATCCTTCCTGATAATTTCAGGCCATTTCACATTTCAGTTTGGTTGGTTGAGTGGAGGAATGCATCGGGCCTATTATGTGATAAAAAGTACCGCTTAGACTGAAAAGAAAAAAATATAAGATGGTGGTCAGATCTGCAATGTTCTATGACACAAAATGTTGGCTTTTAAAAGAGAATAATGCAACAAAGTTAAGTGTTGCTGAGATGAGAATGCTTAGGTGGATGAGTGGCTTGACACTTAGACGCAAAATATAAAATGAATATATCCATGATAGGGTTAGTGTGGCTCCCGCGGCAGACAAGATTAGAGAAAGTTGGCTTAGATGATTTGGTCACATTAAATGCCGACCATCTGATAATCCGGTTAGGAGAGTAGATGTTTTAGATTTGACTTATGTTAAAAAAGGTAGAGGTAGGCCTAAAAAGACTTGAACATAGTGTATAAAAAATTATCTCAATTTATTAGAATTAAATGAAATATGACACTCAATAGGATGCAATGGAGAAAAATGTTTCATGTAGCCGATCCCACTTAGTGGGATAAAGGCTTGTTGTTGTTGTTGTTGTTTGAAGATTCTACGTATCAAAAATCATAATCATTTTCTTATGCATTTGACAAAATGTTAGAAAATTTCCATTTATCTGTTTAATCTTCAAATGTTCTTGAAATTTATTGAAATCTTGTATGCTGCATGTCTTTGATGACACTAAAGAAAATTAGTGGTAGTAATTAATGTGATTTCTATAAGAATATTTATTTAGTGCAGTTTCTAGCCTCAGTTCATTTTAATTCTTCAGAATTTCGTTGGTAACTCCTACACTCAGCCTGGAATTATGGATAAGCATGGCAGTCAAGCGAATGTTTTAGGATGTGCTGATGATGTTATGCAGACTTTTATGCTTTACTTCATCCCGCCTTGGTTGAAAATTGGTGGAACTCTGTTTCATGTATACATATAACGCATGATTATATTATACGTAGGGAAACTTTTTGCTTGTTTTGAAATTCACATTATTCTCTTTTACAGTTCACTTTATCTGTAATATGTAATTTTATATACCTTTTTAGTCAAATGTATTTGGTTTTTCGCTCTTCCTTTTGTTGATATAGTGTTTAGCCATTTATAAGCACCGATTGATTCTTCTTAAATCTTATTCAGATTTGGTTTATGGGTGAATACTCTCATGTCTCTGGAGAATTCGACAATGTAAGTTATCTATTTTTCTTTTTATTTCTTTCTAGCATTGCTTCCAATGATTTTTGTGTGTTATTGGGCTTTTTTCACCAGATATTTATTTCACTTGACAATATTAATTAATATTTTTAATTTGTAGATTGTTACCATTGTCTTAGAAAATTATGGAAATACTCATATAAGTTCTGAAGATGTTCAAGATACCGAGCAAGGCACACAGAACAAATGGGTCAAAGAAGTCCTCAAAGCGGAAGGTCACGTGTCTCCTATCCTTGGGGAACATGCAAGGCTTCTCTCTTGGAAGAACCTCGTAAATGACAAGGGAGAACTTTGTTTGACATTGTACGGCTTTGTTTCGTGAGATAATTCCTTTTGGCATTGATAGTCTAGCAAGGGGTGTAAAGGAGTCGAGCTCGAGTCATCCTTGACTTGATCTTGAGTTCTATTAATTAATTGAGTTCAAGCTCGAGCTTAATTGTACGAGTTCGAGCTAGTTCATACTTGTGCTTGTTTATTATGAAAGAGGGACAACAATATTAATTTAAACTAGTGTTGTAATAAAATGATAAATAGAATGTGCAATTAAATGGTAAATAATTAGAGATCACTTAGTATAAAGTGTAAAATATGATTTTTTTTAAATATTTTTAAAAATTTAAAGAAAAAGTCTTGAATTTTAATATAATTTGAACATTTTATATTAATCATTTTGTAAACAAGCCATCTCATTAGCTAATCAAATAAGTAAATTTGGGGCTGGCTTGAGCTTGGCTTGTTAGCTTATCGAGCTCAGCTAGTTATCGAGCCGAGCTTGAGCCGGCTTGACTCAATTACACCCCTTCTGTCCTTTAGGATCATACTAACTTTCTCTTGAACAGAGATGAATACAAAAACTCCAAGTTTTGGTCAAAGGTTTGCGTGCATAACATGGCCATGCTAGCCACGGAAGCAACTACTGTACGACATGTTTTGGAGTCTATCTTTCGATATCTGGATAGCGGTAATTTGTGGTCACCTCCAAACGGGATTGCTTTTTCAGTCTTGCTTGATTTGCAAAGGATAATGGAAAAATCTGGCAAGTTGTTTTTGTGTTCCTCTGTTATTTATTGTTCTTTTAGCAAAATGTTAATTACATTGAAGGAAATATTGTTCATCTAAACATGCATTTTTTATACCTATTCCTCGTTCCAGGACAAAATGCGCATTTGCTGTTATCCATACTGGTCAAGCATCTTGACCACAAGACAGTCCAGAAACAGCTAGAAATGCAGTTAAAGATGATCAATGTCGCCACTCGTCTTGCTGGGCAATCAAAAGCTGAGACTTCTCTGGCAATTATCAGCACAATAACTGATCTTGTTCGACATTTACGAAGAAATATGCAGTGTGAAATTGACAAATCAGGTTTGAGCGAGGATATGTTGAAATGGAACAACAAATTCCAAAAAGCTATTGAAGAATGTCTTGTTCAGTTATCCAATAAGGTATACTGATTTTTTTTACTTACAGATTGTGGATATATTTTGTAGAAAATTTACAGTAGGCTTTGCTGCATAAAGAAATACAATATCTTTTAGGAAGATTTTGTTAAGATTTGTATCTAGTTTAGGGTTCTATTGGTAAATAGAAAATATAGAAGAAGTCTAGAGATTTATTTGTAAAAACGTTATAAGGCTCTATATAAGCCCAAATAATTAATGGTAGAATAAGTTTTTTAGAGCAATTATTTCTTCTGGTTTACATACCACTCAATTCTTATGTTTTGACGTATCTGGCATCTAAGCTTCAATTTTTACATACATACCATCTTACCTCGTATGAAAAGGTGTATTTCGTTTTTTCAAAGTCAAAGTAGTGGTAGTTTTTATGTGATATGAAAGATTTGTCTGGTATAAAGCAAAGTTTAGGTGTTAGATATGTAAATACATAGAAATTGGGTGGTATGCATGTAAATGCCCGTTTTCTTTTATCTTGGTGGATTTTTACTTGCCTAGTGTTCTGTATAGGAGTGAGCAATTTAAGTGAAAGGAAGATGAAAGTGGGCTAAATATCTGAAATCCATGGTGTACATAAACTATCAGAATATCATTTTATTTCCCTTTTCACATTTAACACGGCCATTATTCTATTTGATAGCATTTCTCATAAAGCCTTTATTATATTTTTAAAATTTTAGGTTGGAGATGCTGGACCTGTTCTTGACATGTTGGCTGTAGCACTGGAAAATTTATCAACTTCTGCGCCTGTCGCTAGATCAACTGTTTCTGCTGTTTATCGAACAGCTGAAATAATTACATCTGCACCAAATATTTCCTATCAGAATAAGGTAATTTTGTCTTGACTTACATACTATACTGTTCCGGTCCTGCATTTTTTTTTTCTGATATCACTACTTACCCATGATACAGGTTTTTCCAGAAGCATTATTTCATCAATTGCTCTTGGCAATGGTTCATCCAGATCGTGAAACCCATGTTGGCGCACACCGTATCTTTTCTGATGTTCTCCTTCCATCTTCCGTTCAAACTCATGCTCTTTCTCCTACTTCAGAACTAGCCAAGCCATATAATCTTCATGTGACACTTTCGAGGACGTTGTCTGCCTTTTCATCCTCAGCCGCTCTTTTTGAGAAGCTTAGAAGTGAAATGCGTCCCTTTCGAGATCATGCATCCATGGATGATCTTCATAAAATCAACCACAGCAATGATGGTTGCGATATTAGTAATGACAGCACAAATGTTTTCAAACTTCATTTAACTCATAATCGTACTTATGCAATGGAGGAAGACCCTTTTTTGTCTTCTTCAACAGAAGAACACAATCCTCGGGGCAAACCTGATGAGAAAGAACTGGTTTGTAATCCAGTTTCTTAAAGTTTGGAACTTTTCTTTTCCATTTGAAGCAAAACTAAATTCATTTCCATGAATTAACTTCAGGACACACTGTTGCTTAGGTTGAGTGGTCAACAGATCACCCTTCTACTGTCATCCATATGGGCACAAGCTCTTTGTCCAGAAAATACTCCACAAAACTATGAAGCGATTGCTAATACTTATGGCCTGATACTTATATTTTCTCGTACGAAGGTATTTATGTATTCTTATTCTCTCCAATCAAGTTGATGTAATGATTTATTCTTTGAGAAAAGTGTCAAAATAATCCCTCCACTCTTTGCAGGGCATCATTTTAATCTCAAAGTATATAAAAGTGTAGATTTTGTTCTCAGTCTCTTTTAATATTTGCTAAAATAACTCCTAAAGACTATTTCGGCACCTATTAAAAATGTCTTTGGACTAATGACACTTTTATAAACTTGGGGACTAAATTTATCGCATGTACATAGTCAAGAGACTATTTTTTGACTTTACGCTTCATTCTTTTTAGTTCTTAACCTTCTATAATGTCATGCCGAGCTGAAAAAAAATTGCCAATGATGGTACTGGCAAACTTGGTGGTGACTTTGCTTGTAGAAGTGTTGGAGTTTTTCATATCTGCTAAACCCATGCTATGTTTTTCTTGGCATTGCCAATCTATTTCCCCGACTTTTTGCTTCATGAATGTGTATATCCACTTATTATTGCAAAAATGATGTATAGTGTGTATTAGTGATGGGGAACTCATTCAATCTCATGCAGAACTCATTTCAGGACACTCTTATTCGAAGCTATCAACTTGCATTTTCCTTAAGAAACACTGCCCTTCAAGAAGGTATTATATATCACGTTCTGAACCTATTTGGCAGTTTCTAGCATAACCACCTTACCATATCTTTTTTATGGCATGAAAAGTTAAATGTATTTACATGCATACCACTCAATTCATATGTATTTACATATCTAAAGCCTAAAGCCTAAACATTTACATATCTAAAGCCTAAACTTCAATTTTTACATATATGCCACCTTACCTATGCATAAAAGGGTGCATTTCACTTTTTAAAAATTTGTGATATGAAAGATTTAGGTGACATAGATGTAAAAAGTAATGTTTAGGTGTTAGATATGTAAATACATAGGAATTGTGTGGTATGTATGTAAATTCTCGACAATCAAAATGTTTTAATATTTGTCAAATATTCAAGTTTTAGCATGCAACGAGTAGGAAAATTATGCTTTCTTTTCTTATTGAAGCAAAAAAAATTAGCCCTTACGCATTTCAAGATCCATGGACTACTTTAATTCCAATAGGACCCAGGTTTACTTTGTATTTTTCTTGAATTCATTTAACGGAGAATAACTAACAAATTACTCGAAAAGCTTAGTAATAAGATCTCTATCATTTCATTTCATATGATTTCTAATTGTTTAATCAACCTAGATCGAGCAGCTCTGTAGCAGTTGTTTTATATGATTTATCTTCTTCATTTCCAGTTTCATTGCCTCCGTCAAGGCGGCGTTCTCTTTTCTCTTTGGCAACGGCGATGATTGTGTTTTCATCAAAGGCTTTTGATATATTTCCTCTTGTTTCAATTGCCAAGTCATCCCTCTGCGAAAAAATGGTATTTTGATGCTTCTCTCTGTAGATGACTTTTTAAATTCTGTCATCTATTATTTGCATTTTTTTAGAAAAACTCTGATAAGATCTACAGTACATATAGCTGATCAGAGAAATGCTCTTTGTACCATTTAAATAAATATATTTTTAACATCTTTATACTGCATATCATTAAAAAGAGTGTTGTTGGCGCATCAGCTCATCTTTATACTGCAGCTCATTGTACTTTACTAGTGTGCTGGTTTTGAGTGTTCTTTACTAAATTTTTTTTATAGAAGGCTTTGAGGGTTATATACCAATAGAAAGCAATAACTTTGTTGATTTTATCACTCTTTATTAGACCATTAACTTGGCTAGACTATATGATGAAAGACAACAACAATAATAATAATAACAAGCCTTTATCCCACTAAGTGTGGTAGGCTACATCAATCATTTTTCTCCATATGTCTTATTGCATGTCATAATTTCATTTAATTCTAATAAATTAAGATCATTTTTTATACACTATGCCCAAGTTTTTTTTTTTTAGGTCTACCTCTACCTTTCTTTCTTAACATAAGTCAAATCTAAAACATCTACTCTCCTAACTTAAAATCATGAAGTTTAAAATGGATCAACCTAGATTTAAAATATTTTTTGACTTCAATCATTTCAAATATATTGTGTGGATATTTGTCATGCGGATAAGCCCTCTCAACTCAAGTCTTTGAAGTAAGGAGAATCATATGTGGAATGTGAGACTTATGACCTCACTGTACAAGCTGGGTTGTTTGCTTTAGAGTGTGCATTGAGTATGAGTTTTAATCAACAACAACAACAACAACAACAAAGTTTTATCCCACTAAGTGGGGTTGGCTACATGAATCCTTTTTCTCCATTGCTTCCTATTGAGTGTCATATTTTCATTTAATTCTAATAAATTAAGATCATTTTTTATATAATATTATCATGTTTTTTTAGGTCTACCTCTGCTTTTCTTAACATAAGTCAAATCTAAAACATCTACTCTCCTAATCAGATTATTAGATAGTCAATGTTTAATGCGACCAAACCATCTAAGAGGACTTTCTCTAATTTTGTCCGCCACTGGAGCTACACCAACCCTATCACGAATATATTCATTTCGCATTGTCTCTAAGTGTAAAGCCGCTCATCCACCTATCCACCTAGTCATCCACCTAGTCATTCTCATCTTAACAAAACTTAACTTAGCTTTATGCTTCTCTTTTAAAGACCAACATTCAACGCCATAGAGCATTGCAGGTCTGACCACCATCTTATAAAATTTTCTTTTCAGTATAAGTGGTACTTTTTAATTACACAATAGACCCGAAGGATTCATCCAATTCAACCAACCAACTTGAATTCTACTAATAACATCCCCATCTATATCACCATCACTTTGAAAAATAGACTCGAGCTATCTAAAGCGTTCTATCTAAAGCGTTCACACAAGCGTTCACACTTTTTAATAATTTGATCACCTATAGTTATAACTTTGTCTCTATAGCTACCACTACTAAAATTATATTCCATGTATTCAGTTTTAGTTCTACTCAAACGAAGGCCTTTAGACTCCAATGTAGATCTCCATAATTCATGTTTTTTCTGAGCTTTCTCTCTAGACTTCTGAGCTTTCTCTCTAATCCTTATCTAGACTTATACACGAGAATAATATCATCAGCGAAAAGCATACACCAAGGTACATCCTCATATAAATGCCCAGTAAGAGCATCCATAACTAAACCAAAAAGATATGGGCTTAAAGCTGATACCTGATGTAATTCAACTGAAATAGGAAAATATTTTGTCAATCCTCCTTCTGTTCAAACACAAGTAACAACTCTAGTATACATATCTTTAATGACTTGAATATAAGTCATATCAGCACCTTTCTTCCCAAGAACTCTCCAAAGAATACCTCTTGGAACCTTATTGTAATTTTTTTCTAAATCAATAAAAATCATATGTAGATCCTCCTTATTCTCTCTGAACTTCTCCATCAAGACTCTCAATAAATGTATAGCTTCCATAGTAGACCTGCCTGGCATAAATCCAAATTGATTATGAAAAATCTTGGTAATACGTCTTAACTTATGCTCAATCACGCTTCCCATAATTTTAAAGTATGACACATCAACTTAATTCCTCTATAATTTGCACACTCTTGTGCATACTCTTTATTTTTAAAAATTAGGGCCAAAATAATCTTCCTCCACTCCTTAAGCATCTTTTTAGTTTTTAAAATAATATTAAAGTGTTTAGTAAGCCAAAAAACTCTCAAATTTCCTTTATATTGACACACTTCAATTGGGATATCTTCAGGTCCTGTAGAGTTTCCACCTTTGATTTTTTTTAAAGCCTCATCATCTTCTTTTTTACTAATGCGACGGTAAAAATGAAATATTTTATTATTATTAACGATATTGAAATTTCTAAGGTCAATCGTATTTTTAGAAACTTTTACTGTGGATGTAGAGACTATAATTCATTTATTCTTAGACTTTGATCCTTCATTAAAGTGTAATACTCGAAGACTGTCAGGAGAGATTATCTTTTAATATAGGCATAAGGCTTATTTAGCATATTACTTCTTTTTTTTTTCTTTTTCATCTTCTCCATTAAATTTTTTAGTGTATTTCCAGGGTTATCCTACGTCAATTTATAATATTCATTGCATGTCCATGTAAAAATTTCTTAGGAATGTGTTAATTTATAGGTGCGGGAAGCTTTGCTCGTTGGGAGTAGGTTAAGGATGACAGGTTTACATTACAGTTGCGTAATATTTGGAAATTATTTTTTATTTAGACTATAATTCATATGAAAACCTTTCTTATGCTTTTTATTTGCATCATGATAACACTTTCAACTTGCCTTCACTAAATTTGAGGATATTAAAACGTTTGTTTAATTGGGAACAACTTGGAGCATTTTAAGCACATTAATACTCCAAATACTTACCCTTGCTATTCTATCATTTAGATGAAGGGAAATTTACATACGTAGCACACAATTCTTATGTGTTGACATATCTGACCCCTAATCTTTCATATTTATGTACATAGTACTTTGGTGGTTTAAACCATGTATGAAAAAAGAGTTGAAAGCTATGTGTGCAAATATGAAAGTTTAGGTATGAGATATGTAAACACATAAGAATTGTGTTCTGGGTATGTAAATTTCCCTTAAATGAATTTTGTTAATTATTCTAATTATAACTATTACAAATGTCGATGCATGTACCAGGTTGATCCATTTCTTTCTCTAGTTGAAGGTTGCAAATTGCAGTCTGTGGTCCCAAAATCTAGCGCCCAAGTAGTTTATGGTTCAAAAGAGGATGATGCTTATGCCTCCAAAGCTCTTTCTGCATCCATATTAGCTGAAGATCATTCTATAGAGTCCATGGTTGCTGTAATTATTGATGAATTTGGGAACTTATCTAGTGTAATTCACGCCACTTCTCTCTTTTCATTTCTTGATTTATTCTTGCAATTATATGAAAGTGTTCTTATAGACTTGCTCATATTTTGCAGTCGGAGTCTTCTTTGATGAGAGCTCAACTACTCAAAGACTTCTCACCGGATGATTTATGTCCGTTAGGTAGTCTGTCTGTGCGGCTACCACTTCCAGGGAAGTTAGCACAATATGCTAAAGACCATAAATCTGAAAAAGAGGTATTGTGACTAAGCATTTTCAATAATTTATCCTTTTTTACAATTCAAGAATTTGAATTTTAGTGAAATTTCATTTGTATGTCTCAGGTCAATTCTTCAGTTTTCCTAGAAGAGGACCTTTTTACTGAAGCATCCGATAGTTTTGTAGATGCGAATCCCGAGTTTTACATGAATACCAACCTTTTGAGTGTTAATCAGCTACTAGATTCTGTATGCTTAAGATTCCACTCAACCCAAGTAGTTTTATTTTTATTTTTAATTTTTTTTGGTTTACAAGATGGATTAAAGAGTATTATAATTCAATATAATTTTCTAAATCCAATCTACGTTTCATTCAGCCTTCTTTCAGAAACACTTGAGCTTATTAAGGTTGAAAAATGCAGGTAATCGAGACAGCTAGGCAAGCAGGAATAATTTCAGTATCAACTACACCTGATGTACCATTTAAGGAAATGGCTAACCACTGTGAGGCCCTTCTGATGGGTAAACAACAAAAGCTTTCTGTTTTTGTAGCATCCCAGCAAAGACAAGAAGTTTCTCAGGACCATTATAATACAATTCTGCAACATTCATCTTATCCAATTCAATTACAAACGGTATGTTATTTTGTATTATTTGTTTTTCAAGCCAGTTTAAAGGTTTTGAAGTCCATCATATAGATTATTGTTTTATGAGACCAAAATTTTCGCACAATGCTTTTTTGGTTTTTATTCTCCATCCCCATCTCAATTTCTTCGGCTCAAGTCCAAAGGATCTGATGTAAACCTCGAATTCCTTGCCCATGAATGATAGAATGTCAATTTAGTTTTGCAATCAGTACTCAATTGTGATCAATTTAGTCCTAGAGTTTTGAAGTGATTCAATTTAGTCCTTTGATTATTAAAAAATTATCCCAATTGATTCATTGTGTAGAAATCATGACGCTAAAGTGTTTCCAAATTAGTCGCTCAACTATACAGATTTGAGCTCATCTGAGTCCTGAAGATCCATTTGGGATCAATCTTTAAAATTTGGGGTGCTAAATTGGAGCAATACAAAACTCTGGGACTAAATTGGTCATACCCAAACAATCGGGGGACTATTTTGAGGTTCAACCCTTTTGCAATCCATATGCACTTTTCACCATATCCATAAGAATTATCCTTAAATGGAACTTTTCTAAGGCACAATGAGAAAAAAATTCAAGCTTATTCGTTTGTATTTTTGTTCCCTCTGCTCTCCTTTTAGTTCTACTTGTAACCCAGTTTACTTTGTACCTTCACTTATATAGCAAGTGTACTTTGAAGAAGATTGCGTCGAGTTCTGATATGATGATATAATTTCTCTTGCAATTATGCATACCTTAAAACCTTCGTCCTCTTAAATCTTGGCTTAACCCCCTTCACTTTATTTCATTTGAAGCCCTCGTTCCACCATCGTAAAGGTTATCTATACTCTTCAACTTAATTGAACGAAATGTAAAAATGGTCCCCCAGCTCTTTGTGGCCATCCATCTTAGTCCAGAATCTATAAAAATAGCAATTTAATCTCCAGACTCTTTTAATGAGGGGCATAAAATATTCCCCACTCCTCGTTATGAACTATTTCAGCCCATATTAAAAGAGTTCAACAAATAATTTGACATTTTTACAAATCCTTGGAGTAAAATGACCCCATATAAATCACAAGGGGGAACGTTTTGACACGTATATGGAAGAGTGATTTTCTCATTCAATACTTCAATTTGTATCATTACTTATTTATTAACCATGCTATGAAACTTCCTGATTTGCAGAATGGAAATCCTTTTATTGAGCAAAATCCAAACACATGCCCAAAACCAATCCTTTCTGGAACTTCACTCACCTGCTCCACTGAGTATCAGAACCAAACCCAGTTCCTCAGACTCCCTGCATCTTCCCCATTCGACAACTTCCTCAGAGCTGCTGGCTGTTGAATTTCCTCTTAGATCCCAATAGTCCCCACAAATTCTATTCCTTCAGTTCTTTTTTTTTCCTTAATAATTTTGTTGTATTATTTTACTCCTTAAAATATTCATCCCCAGCTGTGATGGGGGAGATAGGGTTTGATAATTTGATAGGAGTGGTCACAATCAGGTGATCATGTAATTGTATGATATTTACATTTATAAGGTTGAATTTGTTAAATGTATAGATTACATTTTTTTTTTGAAATAAATGTGTGATAAGATGATATGTTTTATTAAATTCATTTCTTTATTATAGTAATGAAAGCTGAGATTTTTATGATTGATGGTTGAGCTTTAATATGTCGTGTGATCCCCATTTCTTCTAATGTGTGTCAAGCTGATCCAAAACTTTTGCATAAATACCATTTAATTACTATGAATTTACATATCTAACAACTAAGGTTGTGTTTAGGGCAGTTTGTGCGTTTCAGAATAAACAATTTATCCTGAAATGCGGCCCGCGGGTCGACCGTGGGGTTTGATTCGCAGCCTGTGTTTAGTGTAAAAATGTAACCGTGTTTTCGGATAAACGGGCAAAATGCGCGAACCAAACGGTACCGCGATGTTTTTTAAAAAAAAAACCCCGCACTTATAAGCTGCCCCAAACGGGCCTAAGCTTCGGTTTTTACATATATGATGCCTTTATCCAATGCATTTGAAGGTGTATTTCAATTTTTAAAAGATAAAATAATGGTATTTTTTGGTGTGGTATGAAAGATTTGCGAGGCGTAAATATAAAAAGTTTAAATGTTAGATATGTAAATAGGTAGGAATTGGTTGGTATGTCTGTAACCTGTCAACGGTTTCATAATCATGAGAACTAATTTAGGTTTCATTGGGTGAAGTTTTTTTGAAAAGTCTCGCAAATGGACTATCTAAAATAATAAAAAAAATTAAAATTCTGTTAAAAATAATAAAAATAGCTTGGGAGCTACTTGGGATTATTTTTATTTTTTAATTTGTATTTTTTTATTTTTATTTTATTTTATTTTATTTATATTTTGATTTAAAGTAAAAGACTTTTTGATTGTGCTTGATATTTTTAAAAGTATTGAAAACATATTAAAATTATATCAAACAAACATAATTTAAAAAAATAAAAAGAATAAAAAAAAATATATATGACATAAAAATGATATCAAGTTAACTCTAAGTTGTAATTATCATAATTAACCATAACATAAACAATTTCTTTTTTAGTTGTTAAATTATGGATATTTACATGTTCCATTATTAAGGAAATTTTTTATATTTTAATTGAAATCATCTCATGGCATGACCCATCCGATCCAAATTTCTATAATTTATTTTTTTAAAGGGGTGTGATTGTTATTTCCTCATACTATTTTCTTATCAGCATGATTTAAAAACCTATAAATAAACTTCAAATTTATCTTATTTGGAATAAATTTCCAAATAAGAATACATCAGGGATCGGCTTTAAGCCCATATTTTTTTTTGCTTTAGTTATAGATGGTCTTATTGGACATTTACATTGAGGATGTACCTTGGTATATGATGAGAGAGAAATCTCATAAAAAACTTGAATTATGGAGGCCTACATTGGAATCTAAAGACCTTCACATGAGTAGAACTAAAACTGAATATATGGATGTAATTTTAGTAGTAGTAGCTCCAGTGACAGAAGTGTAGATTTGGGTGATCAAATTATTAAAAGGTGTGAATGATTTGGATATCTCGGGCCTATTGTTCAACTTGTTCAAAGCGACGGTGATAAAGATGGGGATGTTAATGGTAGAATTCATGTTGGTTGGTTGAAGTGGAAACATGCTTTGGGCCTTTTGTGTGATAGAAAAGTACCACTTAGACTGAAGGAAGAATTTTATAAGATGGTGGTGAGATCTGCAATGCTCTATCGCGCTGAATGTTGGCCTTTAAAAGAGAAGCATGATACTAAGTTAAGTGTCGTTGAGATGAGAATGATTAGTGATTAGGTGGATGAGTGACTTTACACTTAGAGACAAATGCGAAATGAATATATACATGATAGGGTTGGTGTCGCTCCAGTGACAGACAAAATTAGAGAAAGTCATCTTAAATAGTTTGGTCACATTAAACGTCGACCATTTGATGATCCGATTAGGAGAGTAGATGTTTTAGATTCGACTAATGTTAAGAAAGACAAAGGTAAATCTAGGAAGACTTGGGCTTATTGTATTAAAAATGATCTTAATTAATTAAGCCTAAATGAAAATATGACACTAAATAAGATGCAATGGAGAAAAGAGATTCATGTAGCCGACCCCACCTAGTGGGATTAAGGCTTTGTTGTTGTTGTTGTTGCTGTTGGAACAAATTTCCCTATAATTCTTGATGCTCTCTAAACCTTCATTCTAAAGACATAAGTGTTTGATTTTAATTAACTTTATATTTAATGCTTTGTAGTGTTTTATTATTCTTATGTGTGAGTGTAAAGAAGAGCTTGATAGCTCCTCAAGGATTTTAGATATTGAAGAGTTAAGTGATGAGCTATTACATGAACTTATTAGAAGAAGACTTGCATCCAAGAGGTTTGGAGAATCATCACAAGATATAATCTTAGATGTTATTACGATGAGTATAATATATGATTTCAAAGGCTTTTTAAGTAGGGTCATCATAGTCTAAAATCTAACGAGATTTTCTATTGTTATAAACTTTTTATTATGATGCTCTTCATACCCATTCATCTGCCTACGTTTAAATCCTTTTGTCCTTCTCAATATTTGACTTCAAATGAAATTCTTCCTATTTCTCCTAATTGGGATAGGGTAGGTACATTTAAAAAGACGCTTAAACAACTTCTTTGCACGGGTTTTATATGCCTAAAAGTGTTCTTTCTTCGTATAATATAAAGGTAAGAGCAATATAAATGGATCTCAAATGGTAACTGTTGGGTTTGCCATAATAGAGAGAATAAAAATCATAGCTTTCTATGACCTTTATTTTGGATGACAATAAACCAATACAAAAGCTATCAACTTTTTAGATTTAAAAAGAAGAACAAAGATACTAGATTTGGGTGCACCACAGTTTTGTCTGTTTGGGTAAATAACATTTTGACAGCCTTTTCAAAAAGGTGTTGCTTAAATCTGCATTTTTCCACTAGTTTTGCTAAGTGCGGTGACAGCTTTTTAACTGCGGTCTAACTTTTTCAATAAAAAAATGTAATAGCCACCGTAGCTTTTTGAACATCATATTATTTTTCAGTAGCTTCACAACAACTTTTTAAAAAACTTGAGTTGCCCCACATAGAACCTAAAAGGAACAACTTATTCACTTTAAAGTAGATAAGGTAAATGCAAATATATAAGAAATTGAATATTATTGAAACATTTGTAAGAATCTTATACAGAAACCTTGAATTTTGATGCAAAGGATTTATCGAAAATCTAAACCGTAAAGATATACGAAAAATCTATGATTTTCTCAACCTAACTTCATCAATAGATATTCATCAATATTGTCTAAATAAAAATCTATGATTCTTTACTTGCTTTTCTTAGTATAAAAGTTTGATGTGGTAGAGAGAGAGAGAGAGAGAGAGAGAGAGAGAGAGAGAGAGAGAGAGAGGGCGGATCTCAAATGGTAACTGTTGGGTTTGCCATAATAGAGAGAATAAAAATCATAGCTTTCTATGACCTTTATTTTGGATGACAATAAACCAATACAAAAGCTATCAACTTTTTAGATTTAAAAAGAAGAACAAAGATACTAGATTTGGGTGCACCACAGTTTTGTCTGTTTGGGTAAATAACATTTTGACAGCCTTTTCAAAAAGGTGTTGCTTAAATCTGCATTTTTCCACTAGTTTTGCTAAGTGCGGTGACAGCTTTTTAACTGCGGTCTAACTTTTTCAATAAAAAAATGTAATAGCCACCGTAGCTTTTTGAACATCATATTATTTTTCAGTAGCTTCACAACAACTTTTTAAAAAACTTGAGTTGCCCCACATAGAACCTAAAAGGAACAACTTATTCACTTTAAAGTAGATAAGGTAAATGCAAATATATAAGAAATTGAATATTATTGAAACATTTGTAAGAATCTTATACAGAAACCTTGAATTTTGATGCAAAGGATTTATCGAAAATCTAAACCGTAAAGATATACGAAAAATCTATGATTTTCTCAACCTAACTTCATCAATAATTTCTAAATAAAAATCTATGATTATTTACTTGCTTTTCTTAGCATAAAAGTTTGATGTGCTAGAGAGAGAGAGAGAGAGAGCTAGGGTTCTTAGGAGATGATAAAAAACCCTTAGTGAAACATATTAAGAAAGTCATACTATCAAATGACTTACTAGCTAGCCAAACAAGTCCCATCCACATCATTAATGACAACTACTATCGACTAGCCTCTTAGTTGACGGTTACTTTCACATTCATACCACCCAAATCTTTCATATTACATCCATAATACCACCATTCTAACCTTTAAAAACACAAAAATACTCATCTTCATGCATAGATAAGACGGTATGTATGTAAAAATTGAAGTTCAACTGTTAGATATGTAAATACACGGGCATTAAGTGGTATGTATACAAATCTCCCCACCATTTAGCCTTCCCCAGATAATCATATTTGGCTAATTAAATAATTAATTACAATTAAGAATAACAATTTGAAAGAAGAGATAATTAAGCTCACATGGCATCCTTATCTTTTAATTGTGAACCATATAATCAGTAAACCTTCATCATCCAAAGTCATCCTCTCTTAATGTTCTTAGACTCTAAAAATAAAATAATTTCAATCCTATATCTTAGCTACATACCTCAGTACCTACAATTCTCATGTATTTACATTTCTAACCCCTAAACTTTCATATTTACATGCATACCACTCAAATCATGAGAATTGTGGTATTCATGTAAATTTTCCTTGTTACCCTTATATGACTTGCAAACTATAGTTGCTTTCCCTATTCTATTTGCAAGTTTCTTTTAAATTTTATTAAATATCATATTTACCCTCGTAATTGATAAGGGTAAATATGTAATTGACACTTTACAAGCTTTAATTATCTGTCATCTATATCCTGCAATGCTGACTATTTATTCTAAATAAAAAAAAAAAGATTTTTGCAATTAAAATAGTTCTTTATGTAATAGAATGATAAATATTTTTAATAATGATGTAATTAAATTTATTCTAAATAAAAAAAATATTTTTGTAATTAAAATTGTTATT